AGGCGGCGGCGCGGGCGAGGCCGGCGGCGGCGGCGGGCCATGGCGCTCGAGAACATCATGGCCAACTCGCTGCTGCTGAAAGCACGCCAAGGTGGGTTCACGACCCGCACCCTGACTCCCGCGGAACCCCACCGCCAGTGCTCAGCTTGGGCTGCCAGCCCGCTACTCCGTCCCATCTGTTTTTCTTAGGCTGACCATGTCTCCTAGCTCTGCTCTCTCGAGGCGACCTCGGTCACAGTTATGAGGCAGTATCCTATTGGTGTTGGGCAACCAGCCTGTCCAAGGAAGAAGCCCGCGAAAAAGAACCACACCGCTGCAGCCTTTAACAGGCAAAGATTACGGGCCAGCAGGTGGCGTGCTGGTTAAGGCGCTGGCAACTTACTTTCTCACTTTCCTTCTCTTCTCGGGTCAAATTTTTTAAATTATAATAAAATAAATAAAGTTAAATTTTAAAAAGGCAAAGAAGGAGGCCAATATGTGGCGCGGTGGTTAAAAGAGCTGGATTCCCATATAACTGGCTGTGGTTCAAGTCCTGGACCTGGTGGCTTGCTTTCTCACTTTCTCTTTCTCTCTATCTCTCTCTGATCAAACTGGAAAACAATAACAGTAAATAAAGTTAAATTAAATAACTCTTTTTTAAAAAGGCAAATAATAGCCTGGAAACTACCTAGGTGAGAATCTTCAGTTAGTGACCTTAGACCTGTTATTTAAACAGAGTTGCTTGGTTTTAATTTTTGATCTGAAGTTCTATGGTATGTAAAGTGAGCTTTAGCACAATGTGGTGGTAGATGGAGTAAATTGGTAAGAATCCACTCCTTTATCAATATGAAAACAGAAGCTGGCCCAACCCTAATGCTGGGAGACACTTGGAGTCTGTCTCAGGACCACGTGTCTCCCTGTCTTGGTTCTTTTATCATTTAAAAACAAAGAATTTATTTAATTTTATTTATCATTATTATGATTTTTAAATTTGCTGCAGGGCATGTGCACTCACTAGAGATAGGTTACAGATAGAGAAAGTGAGAAAGCAAGCCACCAGGTCCAAAACTTGAATTGTGGTGGGCCATGTGGGAGCCAGTGCCTTAACCACCGTGCTACCTGCTGGCCCTCCTGTCTTGATTCTTAAGAGAGTTGGCTACAATCTCTTCATCTCTCTCCCCCTCATACTGAGTTGATTTTCTTGAATGATGGAACACCTGCTCAGAACATGGTAAATACCATCTGGAGGTGTGTGCCATGCCAGCCACTGCTGTGAATTTAAAGACAATCTGGACGCCTAAAGAAATGCACAGTGTCCCAGGGCTTCAGGGTTCTGCCCTAAACAGAGATGCCTGCAAAGTGGAAGTGATGTTCGTGGTGACTTGGGATACTGTTGAGAAGCATCAACAAATTCATTTTGTAATTGAGGTGGTAATGTTCTGTGAAAAAATTTAATCTGGAACACAAATATTTTAGATATTTAGGGTTTTTCCACCCTTTTAAGTCCCCTCCTGCCTACCCATCACATTTATGTCCTAAGTACCTTTTAGAAGGAAAGTGCTTGATTAGGAAGTGCATTATTTCTCAACACTTTGGAAACCCTGAGTTAGAAACATGGTACAGAAATTCTTGAAGTAACAATGAATAGTGGCAAGAATTAAAAGATTGAAGTTAGGGCTTAGAAGGAACTTGGATTGAGGAGTGAATTTTTATTCTATTGAGTGTTTCTCATATTAAGGGTTGAAAACAGTCATCTCCAGCCTCTCAATGTTTTTATGATAACTTGCATTATTTTGGAAAGAGAACTAAGGAAGGATGGGAAGAGTTGGGTCTTGGCTTTCCATTGAAGTAGTTAGCAGTCCTTGGAGCAGAATGTGCTCTCTTCACCTCTCTTTGGGGTTCTTCTTTTTTTTTTTTTTTTTTTTTTTAGTTTTTGCTATAGGGTGTGTATGCTCCCTATACAGAGACACAGAGAGAGAAAAAGTGAGAAATCACCCCCTGGGGGGAATGGTCGTACCACAACCCTCCTCCCCTATTTTCCTCTTGGGATTTTGAGCATGCATGCTCATGCACTTGGCATGATTTTCAAGCCACATGATCCAGTGTGGGAAGCTGCGCACCAGCGAGTCTGCTGAGGTTTCTCAGAGAGCAAACAATTACCATGATTGGTTCCCTTCCAAAAACCTGACCTTCGAAACCTTGCTCTGATTGGCCACTAGAATCCCTCAAATTTGCATATCTGGCACCTCATGATTGGTCCAAAAGCAACCAATCATAACCCACGATTAACAACCAATCACGATTCCAACCCACCAGAGTGTATAAAACCACGTTGCCTGGCCCACAGTAGCCAGACGACCACAATGACCAGGAAGACGACAACTGAAGAGCCTGAAGAGCTGAAACACCATGCAGTCTCCAGACAACCCTGAAGATCCTGAAGAGCTGACACTGCATTGTCTCCAGACGAACTGGGAGACCCTGAAGAGCTGTAACACTACATCGTCTCCGGACGACCCTGAAGAGCTGTGATACCGCGTCGTCTCCGTGCTGCTCACAGTAGACGACGCGACCCTTAAGAGCTGTGACACTGCGTCGTCTCTGTGCTGTACCGTGCTGCCCACAATAAACAGACGACACTGTCGTCTCCGTGCTGTAACACTACGCTGCTTGCCCCGGCTCTCACTCCTTCACTCAAGAAACCCGTTCGGCTGTTCCCCCGGGTCAGGACAATCCAGGAAACAAACTACAGAGTTTGCCTTGTGGGATGCAGCACCTAAACCTCCACTTCACCTGCTGGCCCCAGGAGTGTCTATGCCTTTCTTCCCTCATCTCAACTCCAAACTAGTCATGAAAGTGAATCATCCTCTCTGGAAATCAGGTCTGATGGCAGCTAAATCTATTTTCTTTCCACACTATCTTCATAGCTAGGTACAATGTAGTTTTTTTGTTTTTGTTTTTAACAAAAAGTATTATACCAAGCAGATTTATAATGTCACAGAGATTAGATTGCAAGGTAAAGATAAGTATTCTATGATGCCAGCAGGTGGCATGGTGTTTACGGCCCTGGAGCCCTGGGGCCAGCAGGTGGTGTGGTGGTTAGGGCACTGGACTCCTGCATGGACAACTATGGTTCAAGTCTTGGACCTGGTGACTTGCTTTTTCACTTTCCATTCTCTCTCTCCCTCTGTCTCTGATAACTACAGCAAGTTAAATAATAATAATAAATTAAAATAAATAATTCTTTTTAAAAAAAAAATGTCCTGAAGTCCCACATGGTTTACATCCCGACCCCGGAAGATTGAAAATCTCACTGGGCATGTGTATGTATGTGCCCAAAATCCTTAGAGAAGAATGGAGGAGAAGGGATTGAGATGCAATCAACCTCCTGAGGGAGGATGGTGATGTCTTACTTTCCTTCTCTTTGTCTGTCTCTGGCTTTAAAATTTTAAAAAATTTTTGTCCCCCAAAGTATCTCATTATCTTACATAGTGCCACCCATGAACTTCATAATGTTGTGATTTTAATGAAGTCTCTCCTAGTGAGCAAGACTATTTATCCCTCTGTTTGAAGAGTCATTATGGGGACCAGCAGGTGGCGTGATGATTCAGGTGCTGGACTCACACATAACTGACTGTGATTTGAGTCCAGACCTGGCAGATTGAAGATCACACCAGGTAGGTGTGCACGCATGCCAAAAAGCCCAAGAAAGAGAATGGAAGAGAAGGGGTTGCAATGTGGCCTTACCCCCCTAGGGGGCTGATTTCTCACTTTACCTCTCACCGTCTCTCTGGCGAATGCACATGACATATGGTAAAAACCTAAAAAACCAAAAAACCCTTAAAAGAAAAAGATATTAGTTATTTTTGGCTAATGTGTAAAATAAACTGAATATGGAACATCAGAAATACGTGGATGTAGGGCCAGCCCTGTAGCGTAGTGGTTAAGGAAACTGGATCCCTCATAGCTGACCACAGTTCAAATTACTAAACCTGGCAGCTTGAAAAATTCTGGGCACATGTGCGTGCATGCCCCAAATCCTGACAGGATGGAGAAATAGAGAAGGGACATTCTCCCACTCTCTGTGGTCTCTCTGGGGAGAATACATACCTTCTGGAAACTAAAAAAACATGGATATATAGTTGAGTGTTGGATACAGTTTAGGGCACTTTTCTCAACTTGATAACTATTTACTTGCTTCAGGGACCTGCAGTTGGTGAAATGGCTATGTCGCTGGACTCCCATGTAGTCGACTGCAGTTTAAGTCCCGGACCTAGTGGCTTAAACTCATGCCAGGTGTGTGTGTGTGTGTGTGTGTGTGTGTGTGTGTGTGCCTAAGACCCTAAGAGGAGAATGGAGGAGAAGGGATTGCGACATGGCCATCCCCCGGGGGGTGATTTCTCGCTTTCTGTCTCTCTGTCTCTTTGGCGAGCGCACACGCCCTATAGCAAAAACCTCCAAAAAAAAAAAAAAGAATATTTCCCAGGAAGTACCAGATAGTGTCTTCTTAGAAGCATGTCCATTCATGGGTAGTTCTTTGTTTAATTTCTCTGGCTCATGTATTAGAAGATGAACTTTTAGAATGAGTGGATTTAGCACAGCTGTTATATGTTGGTCTTGGGAAGTGCAATGTTGGTTCAATATTATTAGTAAGTCTAGTCATCTCTTGGATATATTTCAAATAGAATCAAATTCCCTAGCCCATAGGCCCTGCATGTCTAAGTGTTTGTGTGTCCCCCCTCCCCCATTTATATATTGAAATCCTGACTCCCAGAGTGATGATATTAGGAAGTAAGTGCTTTTGAGAGGTAATTAGGTTACGAAAGTACCCTCATGAGTGGTATTATTGTCTTTATATAAGGGGCCTGAGAAAGGCCCTTTGTTCCTTCTGCCATGGAAGAATACAGGAAGAAAGTGCCATCTATGAACCAGAAGGTGAGTGCTCACAGAATCTGTCTTGATCTTAGACTTCCCAGACTCCAGAATTGGGAGAATTATGAGAGTCTTCAGAAAGTTCATGGAAATGGGTATTATGAAAAAAAAATTGCACAGATTTCACATTTTTTTCTACCAAAATAGACTAGTATTTTCATTCCATTTTCCATGAACTTC